ATTTCAAATTTAACAAATTCAAAGAGTACAATTTGCCTTAAGAATTATTTGGTCTACAAATTTTGTTTAAAAAAACAAATTTGATAAGTGCTTAAAAAGTTAATTAATTCAATAGATGTAAAATAGATTTGTTTAAAAAGAAATCTGTAAACAAGGAAGAGGTCTGATAACATTGTGCAAAAAAGTCAAAATGCTTTTGGTTCATGTGAATTCAGAATCTGCTCGAAGCAAACTTCACTACAGACTTATAGGTGAAGGTAGAAATTCCTACCAGAAACACCTACCAACCTTATTTACACAATAGGACTAGACCACAGACACCATCATAACAAAACTCTTTCCTTATAACAAATATACAACAGTAAGAGTGTTTGTCCTAATGTGGTCAGCTGTCTACAGGGAAATATTTTTAATTCTTAAGAAATTATGGAAAATCATTGTATGACAATGATTAAGGAAATAGGAAACATGCATTATAGCACACAAATAGACTGTATCAGAAAAAAAAATCGGTAAAATTCCAAATCCTGGTAAAAGCTAATAATTAATTTTAAATATCAGATAGAAAACAGCACTGCTTCCTTAAGGATCTGTGCCTTGCGGCACATATGTGGCTTTTATAGCACAATGCTATTCTGCCATTCCAGAATATTCAACAGTACATTCTACTGTATTTAATATTATCCATATTATGTACTGGCTTGCTTCAAAATGTAAACAGCTGTGAGGAATATATCATCTGAAGTTGTCATATAAGCTATTAAAAGCTAAAGTTTCATCTAAATTAAATCCACAGCTAACTTCAAGCATAAAAGCACTCATAAAAACCTTTGGGGGGCTATTAAGTATTTCTGTAAAGAGACCGTAAAAACACGTAGCTAAGTAAAGTTTAAAAATAGGTATGGTGCCTTTTTAGCTTAAAAAAAAGTCTTTTACTAAAAACTTCTGTTTTCACAATTACCATATTTCAACAATAAAAAAATACATATTAATATATATCCAATATCACAAAAAACACAGTAATTGGCACATTTAAATGAACTGTATGTAGCATTCTAGCCATGTTGGTCCCGGGATATTAGAAAGACAAAGTGGGAGGTATTATGTTTTATTGCACCAACTACTGTTGGCAAAAGAGAGACGCTTTCAGATTTACACAGAGCCCTTCTAAGCTTGTCTCTCTCACCACCAGAATTGGGTCCAGTGAAAGATGTTATTACCTCAGCTCCTGCACCACTCCCATTTGATTAGTGATATACATATGCCTATCCTTTTCACCTTTATAAGATGAGACTACAGTCTCTCATTCAGAGGAGTAAATGAGCCTCTTTAAAATACGCTAGTTTGTAAACTTCAATTTTAATTGGGTTTACACCAAAAAAAAATCCATCTCATGTTAATTTGTTCATATATTCTACTAGACTGATTACCACTTTACTCTTCCTAATACACACATTTACAGGTCATGCAAATATGATTATCACACGTGGAAAAGTTGTCCATATTTCCATGTAAAAGATATTTGATTATATCTATTGATTTGAAAAACTGTTCAATATGTTTTTAGCACAAATGTAATGTTACAGCTACATATATATATATAATAGTGCAGCATAAGGAAATCTAATAGGAAGGTGCAGAAAAGAATGTCATTCTTAGTCACACTAAAACTTAGAAACTATACTTACTGTAATACTGTATCATCTCTATTAAGGCTATTTATAAATTTACAATACATTACATTCAGATAAATATTTTTACAAACTATAACATACACTTGTTAAGCTTCCTTGGTAAAAATAAAAAGAAAGCGAAGAAGAAATCTATCAAATGTTGGTAGAACAGAAAAATCAAATTAAAAGCTATTTGGATCTCATATAAAGGATTACGTACAGCTGATTTTAACTGCCTATGAGACACATTTAAAGGTAAGATTTGAAAAAAATATATTTATTTAGTTGAGATAGTATCAATACTTCTTCCCACAAAAAATTAATCAAAGCTATTTTCTACAAGTATATATCATATTTGGAGCAGGGGAAGAGTGGCAAACTGGGTAATTATTGACTATATCTTTATTTATTAAATAACCCATAATTCTTTTGGCAACAGCTGGATTCCACTGGTTGACACCTGGTATCACACATGCAGACAGCAACTGATGCAGTTACTTTTATAGCTCTAATTCAGGTATCTCAGAAAATAAAGATGTTCTCCCTGTATTCTGGGCTTAGACCCATGTAAATTTCTCATAAATCCTTTCCACAAATCTCTTTTAACATGCAAATCCTTAAATCATCATAATACTGACAAAGAAGTTAACCAACACGTGAAACTAATGCTCATTCTATCCAGAGCCATGTACAGGTAAAACTACCCAAACCTGAGGCATCTTTCCAGAGCTCTCTTTGGCTGAAAATCAACATGACCAAGACACATTTGTCCTCGTGGTGTAATTAATCACGTCTAAAAATCTTGTCACTTGACCAAACTTTGATTATCCTTACCTTGTCTACAGTCTTTATTGATAACTCTATCCACTTGGAATTGGGTTCATTTGTAATCTTTTAGATCAAATAAAGCAAAAGAAAACACAAAAAAGCTTAGCAGGCAAGCAATACTTACTGATGATGGTAAACCTGGTGGAACTTTTCGAACTTTCTTTGTTTGTACTTCTGCAAAAAGATAGAATGCCACCGTAAGAGGTGTTTATTTTGAAATTTGCTGAACAACCACCTTCCTTATATTTCTTACAGCTTTAGTCTAGACTTTTAGCATTTTAGTAAAATAAAATGCATACTATTGCTACTTATTCAGATCAGGAAGACTGGTTATGTAAAGTTGAGGAAAACAGTGAATGTGAAGATTTGGAGCTTTAGATAATTTGCTCCCTCTTTACATGGTTTTGTTATTAAAAAGGATGCTTGTGTGTGTGCAACCAAGGGAAAGCAAAGAATCAGCTAACATTAAAAAACCTACTTGTATTGCCAGCCGGAATTAGAAGCATGCTCTGTCGCTTACTTTTACTATAAAATATTGTTCAATAAAATGCAACTTCATTTGTTATTTTTAAATGGAAAGAAAAACTTCAAGACAAAATAACTCACCCATAGAGGTACTGTGAAGAGGCCTCCTTCGGGGGTTATTGCTAGAATACTGATAGTACTGAGAGCCAGGTTTCGTGGGTGAAAGAGCTCCTGGGTTGCCAATATCCATGTCACCTCCAAGGAGACTTTGCTAAAAGATTTTAAAAATACATATTGTGAAATCTCTCTCTCTCTCTCTGCGATTAACCATTTCTTAATGCTTAAAATAACACTGTAAAAACCTGCATAAGGCAAACTAAAATACTATTTTAGAGCCTCCACGATTTGAAGTACACAGTACTAAACATTTCCAGTTTAGGGTCTTTCCCTTTGCTATGGATGCTTTATAGAGTAGATTTTAAAAAAAAATCCTAACATTTCTTACAATTAAAGGAGACTTATGCCTTTTATGCAAATACAATCATTGTTTAGCATCAACTTTTGAAGCCACATTGAAGAAGTATATTTGAGTACTATTTATTTTCTTCACAGCAAACAAAATGTGTCTGTATACATACTTTTGGTAACCACAAGCCTTTATCCCATTCCTAATATTGTGGTTCAATGTATAATGAAATAGCTACACTAACTATCTGCATATAGAAAAGATTTTTGTGTCCTAAATGAAATATACAAAGTAGGTATCATACAAAATACACACGCCAAGTACATAATATTTGATTAAGATGTGAAAATACAATTATACAGCACTGAAAATCCTGGTTAATATGCTAAGTTATTGAAAAAAAAAAACCCAAAACATCTAAGACTATTGGAGAGCAACAGCAGCAAAAGACTTTTAAGTATATCCAGTTTATGTTTGAATTATAACTAACAAAGATGCACACCCACAAATGCAAAATTTAGTCATGAAAGGACTCTTGGTTTCTATGAAAAAGCAGGAAACAGTATCTGACCACAATAAAAGAAAAATTTTAATCTGTAAGAGAGTATGAAAGAAGAACAATTTTCTAAGAGTAAGACTCTATTTGCTATAAGCTACATTGAAACTTACCCATAATATATAAATCCCCTGATTATACTCTGCATTGAACACATTGTTCTTTTAATTATTCTGATATGCAATAAAACAGGTGTAGATACTACCATTTATATTAAGAACAAATTTACCATTTAATAAAGAAATTTTAAAATTAAGTACCAAAAATCTAACTTTATCGTTACTTGTAATCAACTTTTACTGACTGAACTAATTACTGTACTTGATAAAGTACAGAATGTGTTTTCCCTAATCTAAATTCTAATCACCATGTCACTCACAACAGACTTAGTAATGCTTCACTAACACACTATTCACATGCAAAATACTCTAAATAGGCCAATTATGACTCTGCCCCTGTTCCCTGGTTAACCCGCTGAGAACTGAAAAATTTCACAAGGCAGTCACCAACTAAAACAAAGGCTCCTTGTTTTAAATTAAGACAGTCTTTTTCATTCCTAAATAGCTCAACAAAGTGGCATGTCTTCTAATGAAAGCAGTTGGTCAAATATGACCCATGAGCTGGAAAATCAGAAATTAAAACATTCTTATTCACTGACTATACTTCTAGAAACATCCAAAGCTAACTTTTGATTCTATAAAACTATCTTACTTTTATTCCAGATAAGCAATGTGTAAATAACTAATAGGTTATCAACAAAAAGTAATCCTTGATTGATTCTCTTTTAGGGCTTTTTACATAATGTGCTGTCTAGCATTTGGCTTTATAGAAATTCCAAAAGGGTGTAATTTTATTTTCACGGATTTTAAAAATGTGAGAATGTTAGTCACAACTTTCTTGTTGCTAATATCTTTAAATTTAGCAAATATTTAATATACACCTGTGGTGACTATGTTCTTTTTAATATACACCTGCAGTAACAATATTTGCAAGTGAGTCACATAATGGCAAAGAAATACATACAAAACTCCCTGAAAAAGTTATCAACTCATTCTGAATATACTATTGAAATAAACATAATTTTATTGAATGTCTTTTATTGAATAATTCATTCAATGTATGAAAGCCTGCTAGCCACAAAAATCCTACTCAACCATATATATATATTTTTATCAAACATACATTTTTCACATAAAGACAGACCAGTTCATCTGTACCTGGACTAATCATATGTCTAGTGGTCTTAAAGATTTAGCTCTCTACATCCATCCTACTTGGTGTAATATGATTTTTTTAAATATACATAGAAATGGAGTTTACATTCTTGTACAAATAACATGAATCTTGGTTAATTTAATATAATTTTCCACACATTTTGTTGTTCTATTCATTAAATGCCTGGAAAAACTGTGATTTCTACACAGAAAAAAACAGACAACAATACTGGAAATAAGCATGATAAGAATCTTAAAAGCATCCCATGTTTTTTGTTTAGCTATTGCTTAATTTTCTTTGTCTCTAGGGGGTTTTTTATAATAATTACTAATTCCTTGATAACAAACGCTTGATGACATAAATCTACAAAGTTAGATAATAATATGTCGATTACATATAAAGCAACATTCTGGTACTTTGGACACTTGTGAACGGAAATATGCAAAAATTTAAGAAAGACTGCAAGAAAGGACTTCCAACATTATACCATTTTGCTTCCTTGTACGGTTTGTTCGTTCAAGGAGTCGATGTATATATTCTTGATATATTAATGTGCATTACCTTTGCATGTACACATGGTCACAATTAATCCTACATATTTTACTGTAATTTCAGTATTTGCTGAAAAAGCATTGCTGTCTCTTAATAAACTTTTATCATAATCACAAAGACCAAATTCTTCTTTTTTTAAACCTTCGTTGTTCACTGAGACAACAAAGTCATTCTTCAAGGCAACAAAACCATGTATTTCTGTCCAATTAAGGAGCCCTCCCTAAATACTCCCCCTTGGAAAACTGAGATAAATTATGTATATGTATATGTACTTATTCTGTGATGCAGGTAGCAAGTAGCACAATGGGCATTTATTATTGTTCAGCCTACATGCCGCATTATTAATGGCCTGCAACAAATAGAAAAGATAAAATGTTTACAAACCCGTGACACCAGAGATTACATAGCATTTAAGGCTCTTTGTCCATATTTGATCTTAAAGTGTATGAATTATTAGACGTCTGAAATACGTATTTGCCATTAAGAAATGATGCCTTGCAAGTTAAATGTTATAGCTGCTAAACTCCTCTCCTCATTTTAGACAGGGTTAAAATGGTTGCATGTTTTTCATTTAGCGCAATCTAATGTTCTGATGTTATCTTTGTGTCCCACCAGCATGCTACCCAGGAAACACAGGAAACAAGATGTTGCATATTTTGAAGCTAAACTATATAAACCTTACAGACATATTCTTGCAATTTAGCATACTCTGTGCAAATCCCAGCCCTCTGTACTGTATAGTTTGTAGTGTACATTGTATTCTCAAAGACAAAGAACATAACGTAAGAATTTTCCAGTCAGATTTCAAAGTTTGAGTTAAAAAACAAATCAGAGAAGAAAAGCAATCTCAACACAGCAAGATCCATTACCAGATTCAGACATCCAGCAGTTTTTTGTCAATTTGGATGCTTTGTTTGTTTGTTTGTGTTTGTTTATTTGTTAGTTAGTTACCTGGAACTCAGTCTCTGTTTCTAACACACCCTCAACCCTGTCTTCTTTTAATTTTAGCCGGGAAACCTTCACTTAATTCAGTAAATGAAACCACATATTGAGGGTTATTTAAAAAAAAACCCAAACCACCCCACTGTATTTATCAAAATGATTAATACCTGAGTGGTAGTTTAAAACAAAAAAAAACTGGACTGTTTTCATCAAAATCTGAAACTTTGCTTTTCAAATCAAAATGATTTTTGCAACCAAGTAATTGTTACACTTCAATCATTTTTTAAAATATGAGTGAAAAGTAGATTTCTGTAACTATTATTTTTACCCCTTAATTATAGATATGAGTGAGATTAGAATAGGATGAGTGCTGCCTTCTATTAGTATATAATTGATTCAGATGAAAGGAAAATGACCTTGAATGTTGTAATCTGGGTGTGGGGTGGAGGAGAAAACCCTCCACAGGTTAGGAGGAAATATGTACAAAAAGGTACTTTGCTGGATTTACCATGGATTCTGTTTTTTTCATTCCCCATTACATGATGACCAGATATCAAACACGACGACATCATGGGGGGATGTTTTAGAACAAAGAAAAACAGTTTTCAATGAAACCAGATTAAGCTCCTTTTCTGAACTATTGCCAAATGCTTGAGTGTTGAATCCATGTTGGAGCATTCTAGTGCTTGCACAGCTGCAATTCTATTCTACGATCACAAACCTACATGATGTATAGTGACTGGGGCCCACATATTCCCACAGGAAGCAAAAGGGCCTATGGGTTCAAAGAAGCATCAGGAGGGATTGCGTGGAGGGGAAAGGTGACGGCACTGTAGCATTCTTTCTTGTCATGTGGTTGCACAAGAACCTCCGCACTACTTATGGTGCTGCCATGTGGCACTTAGGATCCTGTCGGTTGGCCAACAAAGAGATGGGGATAGGAATTCAGTATGTTATGCTCTTCAGGAAAATAAGCATAGTGCAGAGATCAAATGCATTATGCAATTCTGTTCTGAGCAGCACAACAGGTATTCCCACACAGAGCATAAAGAACTATCTCTGCAGCACGGAAAGCTTTGTGAAAAATATTATTGTAGCTGGGAATGGGCGGCGAAGAGGAGTTCAGAGCAGTGTTTAGCTTCAATGGAACCCTGGGCCCATAGGACCCTCCTAAGCATTTCTTGTAGATCACCAAGAAACCTTATACAATAGTATGGGACCTCCTCTTCCAAGCAGCTTCTGGCTTGCCTCTCCTTGCCGATGCATATGACAAGAAGGGAAACACAGACAAATCTGTGTAGCAAACTGACTTTGTCCAGATAAACAAGGCTGAAGGCTGAGCTTACTGTGAGTATAAAATGCTGAACTACTACTGGTGTGTGTGTGTGTGTGTGTGTGTGTGTGTGTGTGTGCGCGCGCGTATGTGTGTGTGCACGCACTAGAAGATTTACCTGGCATTAACTTTTGTTTTGTGGAAAATAAAATGAAAATGTACATGCTTCATACGCTTTACCGCAGCAGCTTGAGGCCAGATGCGTAG